TATGTGTCTGTGTTTCTCCAGCAACACACTGTTTGGTTGCTTTCTCTTTGTAATAAATTGAAGTCAGGAAGTGTGATACCACCTGCTTTCTTCTTGCTTAAGATTGCTTTTGTTGCCCTCCAGTGGTCGGCAAACTCTGGCTCGCAAGCCATATGCGACTGTTTGGCCACTTGACTGTGGCTCTTCCACAAAATAGCGACTTCAGCGCACGGCCATGAAGTTTCAATCGCACTGTATGTGCGCGCCGGCATGTGGTATTTTGTAGAAGAGACACACTCAAAGGGCTAAAGAGTCGCGTGTGGCTCGCGAGCCGAAGTTTGCTGACCACAGCCCTATCCTATTTTGCTCAGTGGATAGAGCAGGGGTGGGCAAACTTTTTTACTCGAGGGCCACAATGGGTTCTTAAACTGGACCGGAGGGCCGGAACAAAAGCATGGATGGAGTGTTTGTGTGAACTAATATAAATTCAAAGTAAACATCATTAAATAAAAGGGTCGGTCTTTTTTTTTTTTTTTTAGGTTTATTCATTTCAAATGGGCCGGATCCGTCCCGTGGGCCGTAGTTTGCCCATGGCTGGGATAGAGCCTCGGCTAGTGGACTCAAAGGGTCGTCTAGGTTCTCTGGTCAAGGGCATGTACGTTGGTTGCGGGCACATACCCAGTATGGAGTGTGCAGGAGGCAGCTGATCAATGTTTCTCTCCTATCGATGTTTCTAACTCTCTATCCCTTTCTCTTCCTATCTGTAAAAAATTAATAAAATATATATTTTTAAAAAGATTGCTTATGTTAATGGAGATCTTTTGATTCCATTTCCAGATTTTCTATTCATTTCTTTGTAAAATACAATTGGAGTTATTGGGATTGCATTTAATTTGTAGTTTGCCTTGTGTACTATAGCTGTCTCCACCATATTTCATTTTCAGATCCGTGAACACAGGTTGACTTTCAACTTATTTGTGTTTTCTTTCATTCCTTTCATCACTGTCTTATAGTACTCACTGTACAGATGTTGCACATTTTGGTTGTATTTCTTCCTTTGGGTTTTATTGTTTTTGATTCTTTTGTAAATTTGATTACATTCTTCGTTTTTCCATCAAAAAATTTCTCTTTAGGTTGTAGAAATGGAACTAATGGTTGTATGTTTATTTTGCATCCTGTAACTTCTCTGATTTTAATTCTTTTATATA